TTTGCCGATTGATGAGTCTGACTATAACCATGATAACTAAATAAGAGAACAAAATTGACGGTTTCTTTCAGCCTCATGAAGAAATGTTGATAAGCATAAAAATTATTTTCCGATATATGTGTTTGGCTATAATCATGATTAAAAATAACAAGATGAGCAAAATTGACGGTTTTCTTCAGCTTCATGAAAAAGCTCTTGATAAACGTAGAAATTGTTTGTTGATTGATGAGTTTAGCTATAACATTGATAACCAAAAAAACAGGAGAAAAATAACGATTTTTTATGTCCTGATGAAATAGCTTTCAATAAATGTAGAAATAATTTGCTGATTGATGACTTTTGCTATAACCATGATAACAAAAAAAAGATAGCAAAATAGACGTTTTTTTCAACGTAATGAAAGAGCTCTAGGTAAACGTAATAATTATTTGTTCATTGATGAGTTTGGCTATAACCATAATAAAAAAAAACAAGAGAGACAAAATTGACGACTTTCTATAGTCGATGGAAGAGATCTTGATAAACGTAGATATCATTTGTTGATTGATGAGTTTGGTTACAACAATGATAAAGAAAAAAATGAGCAAAAGTGACAGTTTTCTCCAGGTTCATGAAAAAGCTTTTGATAAATGTATAAATCTTTTGCAGATGATGAGTTTGGCTATTACCATGATAACAAAAAAAAAAATAGACAGTTTTCTGTAGTCTAATGAAAGAGCTCTTGGTAAACGTAGAAATCGTTTGCAGATTAAAGAGCTTTGTTATAACCATTATAACGGAAAAATGGGCATAATTGATGGTTTCTGCAATTCGATCAAAGAGATCTTAATAAATGTAGAAATTTTTTGCTGATTGATGAGTTTGGCTAACCATGATAATAAAAAAAAAAAGGAACAAAGTGACGGTTTTTTGTAACGTAATGAAAGAGGTCTTGATAAACGTAAAAATTATTTGCTCATTAATGAGTTTAGCTATAACCATGATTACAAACAAGAGAGATAAAATTAACCGGCCTTCTGAAGTCCGATTAATGATATCTTGATTAACGTACAAATCATATGTTGATTGATGAGTTTGGCTATAAAAATGATAACAAAAAAAAATGAGCAAATTGACAGTTTTATGCGAGCTCATGAAAAAACTCTTGATAAACGTAGAAATCATTTATTGATGATGATTTTGGCTATATCCATGATTAAAAAAAAAAGCATGAAAGTTTTCTGCAGCCTAACGAAAGAGCTATTGATTAACTTAGAAATTTGCTGGTTGATGGTTTTGCTATAGCCATAAAAAAAAATATGAGCAAAATTGACGGTATTCTACTGTCTAATGTAAGAGGTTTTGGTAAACGTATAAATTATTTGCTGATTGATGAGTTTGGTTATATCAATGATAACAATAAAAGAGAGCAAAATAGACAGTTTTCTACGGCCTGATGAAAGAGCTATTGATAAATGTAGAAATTATTTGCCGATTGATGAGTTTGGCTATAACAATGATAACCAAAAAACAGGAGAAAAATAACGATTTTTTACGTCCTGATGAAAGAGTTTTCAATAAATGTAAAAATAATTTACTGATTGATGACTTTGGCTATAACCATGATAACAAAAAAAAAAGGAGCGAAATTGACGTTTTTTGTAACGTAATGAAAGAGCTCTTGGTAAATATAAAAATGATTTGTTCATTGATGATTTTGGCTATAACCATAATAAAAAAACAAGAGAGACAAATCGACAACTTTCTGTAGTCCGATGAATGACATCTTGATAAACCTAGATATCATTTGTTGATTGATGGGTTTGGTTACAACAATGATAAAAAAAAATGAGCAAAAGTGATAGTTTTCTGCAGGTTCATGAAAAAGCTTTTGATAAACGTATAAATCTTTTGCAGATGATGAGTTTGGCTATTACCATGATAACAAAAAAAAGAAAAAATTGACGGTTTTCTGCAATCTAATGAAAGAGCTTTTGGTAAACGTAAAAATAATTTGCTGATTAAAAAGTTTTAGTATGACTTTTATAACGAAAAATGATCAAAATCGAAGATTTTTTGCAGCCTGATGTTAAAGTTATTGATTCGCAGAGAAATCATTTGCTAATTGATGAGTTTGTGGCAATAGCCATGATAACAAAAAAAAAAAAATTGACGGTTTTCTTCTGGCTATAACAATTGTAACAATAAAAAAGAACAAAATAGATACTTTTCTATAACCTAATGAAAGATTTCTTGATAAATGTAGAAATTATTTGTTGATTTATGTGTTTGGCTATAACCATGATAACAAAAAAATGAGCAAAATTGACCGTTTTTTGGAGCCATATGAAAGAATTGTTATTAAACGTAATAATCACTTTCTGATTTATGATTTTGGCTATAACTATAATTAGAAAAAAAAAACAAAAGGAGCAAAGTTGATGGTTTTCTGAAGTCTGATGAAAGAGTTCTTGATAAGCGTATAAATCATTTACTGAAGATGAGTTTGGCTATAACAAAGATAACAAAAAAACATGAGTAAAATAACGATTTTCTGGAGTCTAATGAAAGAGCTTTTGATAAATGTAGAAATCATTTGTTGATTGATGAGTTTTTGATAATTATGTTGAATCCGGATCTCAGTATTACCAATGAGATGCTTTGTTGGTAATTACTTTTTTATTTTTTTTGTCGTCCACAATCAAAACTCTAAAATTTTCGACGGAACGTTAACTGATTCTAATGTTATAAACCGGGTCTCAGGAATCCTGAAAACGACGAAGTACCTATCGTCACATGCAAAGAGAATGCTATAAAATGATGACGTTCGTTGTTTTCTTATTGTCTTGAAATTTTTGTTTTTTGTTTTTTTTTTTTATGATTGGCATCTTATTTTCTTACCATTTATAATATTCTTTTATCTCTCATAATTTTACCGTTTATGCACGATAACTTACACCATTTGTATATATTATTACTATGGTGTTGATAATAGAGTGATATATTTTTATCCTTAAATTTCGTTAGTATATATTTCAGTTTAACTGTTGAGATTTAGTTTTTTTTTTTCTAAACTTAATTTATTAATCTTATGGATAAATTCTATATCGTTTAATCAATATTCGTTTTTGTTAATTTTCTGATTTAGTTTTTAATATATATTTTCCATTGTTATGTTCTTTCCAAATAATCGTTAGGTCTACATATACGTATCGCGCGTTTATACCTCATTGGATTGTTTAGCCGAGTAATCTTTTGATATGGGTTCTACAATGATACCTTTTACCTCTGATTCATGTGATGGTGGTTATTTTCATATTGCGTCTCTTAACCCTAACATGGGTGAGTGGTCTATTTTGGTGAAGATTTGAATTGTTGGTCTGTTTCGCGTGGCTCGGGTAGAGAGCTCAATATGATTTTGGGTGACGAGCATGTTAGTGTTTTAATAACTTACCTTCTATACATGTTTTCGATATTAAATTGAATTTTTTTTTTCTTTAACATTTCATTTGCAGTTCACCCAAATTTAAGCCGTTGTTCGTGATGAATTAATTGATAATTATTTTTCAAGATTGATAATCGATGAGTGGGTGAGCATTAAATTTTTTGATGTATCCCGGGTTAACAGCATCTTGAGACCAGTACCGCATAGATTCAAGATTGTGTTTCGTTCGGACACTTTAGTGCAAAGTATTAATATGTGCTCCAGTAGAACCTATTTCAATCTAACTGAGTTTGTGAGTATATTGAGTGGTATTGTTAACCCGAATATTTGCGTTGGTAAGCCTAATTTATGAATTTATTTGTGCTTTTGGAGTTTATTTGCGATTCATGTTCTGACTGTATTATTCATGTGTGTGTTTCATATATGTTATTGGCAAAATTCTCAACGTGAGAGAGTTGGTTTTTGTTCCTTCCGTGGAACATTCTCAAGGAGGATATTTTGAGCTGTGCTTTGGTTTACGTGATACTGAGTAAGTCACTATTCTTTTAAAGATTTAAACCAGAATATAATGTCTTATGACTTCTTCAAATCTTAAAATTAGGTGTATCCATCTAGAGTGTCGTTTAACGGGTGACCTTGCAGTCGAGTTCTATGACTTATGGAAGCAACGTTCACGTAACACAGTGATATGTATTATCAAGTTTGTGAAATTAGAGCTATCACAGGAACATAGGTGGAGATGTACCAATGTTACCGGAAGTACGAGGATTATGTTGAATCCGGATCTCAGTATTACCGACGAGATGCTTTGTTGGTAAGTATTTTTTTTTTCCGTTTACAATCAAAACTCTAAAGTTGGCGACTGGACATTCACTGTTTATGGTGTTCTTAACGGATGTCAGGAATACTGAAAATGACCAAGTACCGATCATCACACGGAAGGAGAATGCCATGGAGTGATGATGTTCGTTGATTTCTTATTTTGTTGGTGAATGATTTTAAAAGATGATTTATTATTATTTTTTAGCATTTATAATATTATTGAATTTTTTAAATTTCATCATTTTCCATAATTTTATCACACTAAATCCTAAACAATTTACCATATTTTTCTTACACTACCAAGTAACACCTAAACAATCCCTTTATTTCACATGATTTTACCATTTATACAGCATTCTTCCCGCGCATGCGCGCGGGCAATCACCTAGTTAATTAAATTAGCCAAGACTTTCAAAAAACCATGAATCGATATCTCAAATAAAATAAGGAATATTTTTTTATAATTAATATCCATAGTAGTTATTAATTGTTTTTAGGAATATTAATTGTTTTGATAAAGATTTGATCTAACACAATATATAAATCTTCATTTCTTGTTGTTGTAATTATCTTCAAAAATTAAAAAAATTAGATCGTACACCGCATTTCAGTTTAATATAAATACCTTCTCTAGGTTTCACTTTCAAATCATAACTAACCCCATTTTTTTTGCTTTTTTTTTTGCGTTTTATTTTATTTGGCTTTACACATATGAATTCATGGTGTTTATGTATTGTTATAGGTTACGGATGGAACGTCGTTAAACAATTCTAGGACAATTAAATTGTTGATTCAATCGAACATATGGTGAGTTTTTCACTTTAGTACTTTCATGTTTAATATTTAAATTATGCTTGGTGTATTGAGAAATCTATAAGCTTTCCCATAATATTTTGCGAGCAGCTTAGATTTCATATTCTTCACTAAAAAAAAAAAAAGCTTTGATTTTGTATTTACCATATTCTTCACTAAAAAAAAAAAAGCTTTGATTTTGTATTTACATAATTTGATATCAGTTTGATTATTGGTTCCATCATGATGCAAATTACGGCCTCTCAACAACCCCAATAGACTATAATCGTTGGGAACTCTTCTTTTTCTCTTGCTTCTCTCTGATTATCTTTCACCAGGAGTCTCAATTATTATTATTTCTTTGTATTGATGCGATCAGAAGTTTTATCTCTTTTTTAAATAATGATCTCTTTATGGATTTTTCATTTAGGTATGAACATGGTTTGTTTCACGGGGTGTTTCGGTGTCTTGCCTTGAATCAAGGCGTGTAAAAACGTAAAGCTTGCTTTTATCTATCTTTTTTTATTGTCACGTCTTTATCCATCTATGTAACGCTTAATCATCAATTATTATATTAAACTTCAATAAAGGCTGGTGTACCAAATTCATGGTTTGTTTTATCTGATTAGTGTACCAAATTCAATTGGAACTATATCAGATCCATGAAATTATTGATTATTGATACATGCAGGTTATGTGTGATCCTTATACACCAGCTGGTGTTCCAATTCCAACCAACAAGAGGCACAACGCTGCTAAAATTTTCAGACACCAATCGTTGCCTCCGAAGAGCTTTGGTATGCTCATCTTCTTGTTTTTTGGCTATACATATTATTTTCGTTACTATAAATTCTAATAGTATTTGTTTTTTTAAACGATTGTATGTTTTGGATGAATGAAAGCAACCACGATGCATGAAGAAGATTCATGTGATGTTTCAATTGATCTTTTATCTTTAATTTATCGATTTTCTAATTTTACAAAAATGTTCTCACCGAGTAGAATATACTTTTGAGTTTTGAGTTAAATCTTTCACAGTCTGTTGTGGATTAGCAACGTTTCAAGCCATATTAACTATTGTGTTGTGGCAGTTCGAAAGATTCATATAAATTGGACTATTGCTACAAAAAAAACAGAATCACAGGTTTAATTCTATCAAAGGAGATAAAGCCTCTTATCTCTACTGTCTTTGAGGGTAAAGATGCTAATGTCATCGCCCACGGAGCAAGAAATTGCGGAAAAACATATCTCATACATGTATTGAAAGCAATCTCATTAAGGTATTGATTATCAGACATGATACTATAGATGAAAAATGCTAATTATTGTATCGCATGGTTTGTAGGGAAATGATTATGCTCTGACGCTCAAAGGAAACAGACACCTTTGACTATGTCTGCTACTTCTAGAAAACAGACAGTGCTAAGGGGAAATGTGACAGAGAGAAAAGACTAAAATCAAAGCAAGGTAAATCTTTCAGAAACAACTTTGTATCAACTCTAAGCCTCAATATCCATGATATACCTGCATCTGCTCTGTTGTTCAGTTTTAGAACATCAAATAATGATGATTTTTTTTCTCAATGTTTGAAGAAAACTGTTCCGCGAAGCAAACGATTCAGTGAAATGTAAAAATAGCATGTTGGAAAATTTAATTAATACGTCATGAAGTGGAATAATCTAGATTCTTCCTTTACAAAGAGGTAAAACAGAGGGTATAGAAACAGAGACTAAGAGACCAAGAGTCTTAATTAAGGAGGTTTGGTATACCACTTAACCCTAATCAATCCACTACTTACTTGATAAAGACATATTCTCATCATGTATATTTGATTAGATTAGCTAGGCTCGTAATATGGGATAAAACCCCGAAGATGAGCAAGAAATGCTTTGAAAGATTTTATCGTAGCATGAGTGTCATATCTGCACCCTTCAGTGCTCCCTTGTAAAATCAAAGTATCTGAGTATAGATACTTAATAGGTTTAAGTGTTCTTCGATCTTGGATGATATGTTCCAACTTATACTGATACAGAGGTTATACAGATTTTTGGTTTTTCTAATAAAATAAATTGTTTGCTGAAAGATTGCTATACCTTTAACAATTTTATTTTGTTTGTTAGGGTCACGACATACATACTATAATTGATAGAGAGTATTATCGTTATCGTGGATTCAGGTTTTTCCAAGGACGATAGATACATGGCCGGCCCTATAGACATCAACAAGAAACTTTTGCTGTAACCCAAATTTTGTTTCTGAAATTCTTCAACAAAAATTATTTATGAAACGGACCTAATTTTATTTATTTTACTATAATTGGCCCTAAATTTTAAAACCTTTCAAAATAACCAAAAACTTTTTTTTGAGTATTTGGCCCTTCAAATCTCAGGGCAGGCCCTGGATGGATAACACTTAGAGATTTTGATTCATGTTATCGGTTTGCTTGGTCATACTTTTTATGATTTTAAAATTCATTGGAATTTATCAATCTTTGTTTCACATATACCTTCCTTGGGTGCGATTGATTACTGCGCATTCGCATCTTTTAGGAAAATTGATACTTAATTTTGAGTATGTTTATTTCCCTGGTCCCATAATATCTTTTGTTTGGATATTTTATTCTTTGCATTGTTATGGTTTGATCTATTAATTTAAATAATTATATTTAATTGGTTAGATCGTGAGTGTTAGCAATATTGAAGACGGAAAACCAATAATAAAGTGTGGGATCAAGTTTATGTGGAATTAGAAGATGAATTGTAAGTTATTAATTTAATCAAAATTAGATTTGTTATAGTTTAATTTGGGTAGTATGCTAAAAACTTAATTTTATAATAAATTTACGTCTATGATGTCGACTACATGGTGGATACTGTTGTAAATTTTTGAGAGAACGGAGTAAACAATGTGATAATATCACCATATTTATCATGAGATTCACTAGAATAGAAGTCACTCGAGGTATTCGAATATTGTTGTTTTTTATGTATATATAATTTCTGAATATTTATTAGTCGATCACGTTTCTATGATATTGTTTCTTATGGTTTTGGCTACTATTATTTGCAATGGCACCCGAATGATGCTAAAAAATATGTGTGCTGAAAGTTGCAGGAATGCAGAGTTGTTTTGTGCTAAGGATCACAGAAATTTTTATTAGTTACTAAGCTTATCTATTTTTTTTGTTTCCATTTTTCTGAATTATTTTTTTCCTAAACATGTAAATATGATCTAAAATGAAGTTTGAAGCTTTACAAAAGATAAATAATTACACAAAAGCAACCTTGGCAAAAAAAGAGATAAAAACAAGACTACAGTAGAGTAAAGAAAGATTTGGAAATAGATAACGAATCCAAATAAGCATAAGCTTTGTTCATCTCGAAGTGATGATGTTTCGTAGCTCCACTCCACCATCTTGAAAATGATTTGAGCAACAAGCCGCAAGGAGTTATGGAGAATGTTATTACGCTGTCGCCAGAACTTATAAACCACCACTTGAGATGCTACTTTTCTAAGCAAAGAAGGCACATGACTGGAAGAGCGTCAGGTCCAAGAAAATAGCTCAATCCAAGAGCAAAACAACCTTTGTTGTGGAAAAATTATGAGAAAACTAAATTCCACACCTGGAAAGAGCTCACAAAGGAGCAGAAGGTGATCATGAGACTTCGTTACAAAAATGCAAAGACGACACTCATCAGATTGAATTTGTCCTCAAGAAGCCAGTCTTTGACGAGTGGGCAATTATTTAAGTGACTCTGGAGAGGAAGAGCGTTAGGACAAAGAAAGTAACTCAGCCTAAGAGCAAAACAACTTTTGTCGAGAACAAAGCCTAGAGAAAACTAAATTCCACACCTGGGAAGAGCTCACAGGGGAGCATGAGGTGATACCGAGACTCTGTTGCAAAAGTATAAAGACAACACTCATCAGATTGAATTTGTTCCCAAGAAGCCAGTCTTTGATGAGTGGGCAATTCTTTAAAAGTGTAAGGAGAGGAAGAGCGTTGGGTCCAATAAAGTAGCTCAGCCCAAGAGTATAACAACCTTTGTTGAGGATAAGGCCTAGAGAAAATCAAATTTCCCACCTCAGAAAAGCTCATAGAGGAGCGGGATGTGATCCTGAGACTCCGTAGCAAAAGTGCATAGACAACACTCATCGGATTGAATTTTTCCCTAGGAAACCAGTTTTTAACGACTGGAGAGGATGATTGGAGATTTATTTAAGTGTCTCAACAGAAAAAGAGCGTCAGGTGCCAAAAAGTAGCTCAACCCAAGAGCAAAACAACCTTTGTGGAGGATAAATCCTAGAGAAAACCAAATTCCACACCTTGAAAAATCTCACAGAAGAACACGAGGTGATCCCGAGACTCTGTTGCAAAAGTGAAAATACAGCACTTGGCCCCAAGAAGCCAGTCTTTGATGAGTGGGCAATTATTTAAGTGACTCTCGACGGTCCATGAAAGTAGCTCAGGCCAAGAGCAAAACAACCTTTGTCGAGGAAAAAACCTATAGAAAACTAAATTTTACACCTGGGAAGAGCTCACAGAGGAGCAAGAGGTGATCTCGGGACTCCGTTACAAAAGTACAAAGACAACACTCATCGGATTAAATTTGTCCCCAAGAAGCCAGTCTTTTACGAGTCGGCAATTATTTAAGTGACTCTAGAGAGAAAGAGTGCCGGATCCAAGAAAGTAGCTTAGTCCAGGAGCACAACAACCTTTGTCGAGGATAAAGCCTAGCGAAAACTAAATTCCACACCTAGGAAGAGCTCACAGAGGAGCATGAGGTGATCCCGAGACTCCGCTGAAAAAGTGCATAGACAACACTCATTTGATTGAATTTGCTCCCAAGAACCCAATCTTTGACGAGTTGACAATTATTTAAGTATCTCATGGGTAGAAGAGTGTCGGTCCAAGAAGTATCTCAGTCCAAAATCAAAACAATCTTTGTCGAGGATAAATCCTAGAGAAAACCAAATTCCATACCTCGAAAGATCTCACAGAGGAGCAGGAGGTGATCCCATACTCTGTTACAAAAGTACAAAAACAACACTCATCAGATTGAATTTGCTCCCAAGAAGCCAGTCATTGACGAGTGGGCAATTATTTAAAATAGTCTGGAGAGGAAGAGCATGATATCAAAATTAACGTAAGAGTTTTGACATCAATATCTTTAGGATAATGGAAGGAGTTTCCAAATGAGCATAATCTTTAAACTTCAATGTCTTGTAAAAATTGAAGGATTTTGTAAGTTAACATAATATTGTCGATGTCACATTATTAAATTCAAAGTCAAGAACTATTGGTACCTTCGAAATTTCTGTTGTTTGTAGTTGTGAGCGTCTCCGGTATCGACTACCGTGGTTTTATGTCAATAAATTTTTCGCTGAGTGGAGGCAATGTATTGATGACATTACCATATGTATATTCAGATTAGCAAGAACTGAAATGAGTGAAAGTATTTTGTTTTGGTTTTGTTATTTAACATGTATTGTTGGGGTTTGAGACATTGAAACTATATTCCTTTGATAATTAAGGTACACGAAGAGGTACTGCTTCATACAAGTGTTCGCAGATTCTATTCAATCATTCTTGTCATGATGTAACGAGGATGCGAGATATCTTTTCTAACAAGAAGAAAGGACAAATGTCACACATCCAATTTTGATCTTTTGATTATATTTGGTTGTTGATGAGCAAACCAAGACTACTAAATTTATACTTTCTGGTTCTAATGATTTTAGTTTTCCGTTTTGCATTTTACTATATTCAGAGGATAATAATCACT